GAAGGGTTACTACATGCTCTTAGCATATCAGACTTTAACGTCGCTTCTTCAGAGATAAAATATTTCATCGACAATAACGCATACCACCAACAACTTAACAGCTGGTATATGTGGTGGCTGCAAAGAAAATCGCACATTCTTCGTGCTTTCAAGGCAGAAGGTACACCTGCCTCAAATCTGGCCGAAATAGGCCATGCTAAAATTGCATCGGTAGGAAGACCGTTCATGTCTTTGCTCGAGACGGCTAGAGACGAGCTGAAATGCGTTTGTTTGATTCGGGATTATCAAGAGGTGGCAAGGGGCCGACAAGCATCCAGCGAAAGGCTAAAGAATATAACGCTGGTAGAAAAGGACTAAATCGTATGCAGCTGAGCTGGACAGAGAAGAAGAACCACCACGTAAGAATACACCATGGTTTGTGCCATCAAAGGGTAAACATCGTCCACCAGAAGGACCTCCATCGAAAAAAAAAAAGAAACAAAACGAAAAGCAAATGCCTGGACCATCATAACCAGATAGACCGCTACCTTTTTATGTTATTTTATGTGGAACAATATTCAATCTTAGAAAATGTTATGAATGCGGAAAGGACTTTAAGAACAAACACAAGGTGGAACCTAATTACTTAATCCTAAAACACTACTGTTACAGAAGATATGAAGATAAAAATGGAAATAACACTGTATCAAGGGTCTTGCAAGCTGCTTACTTTCATTTGAAACTTGATTGCACAAGGAAAGAAGTACCAACAATGGAAATTGGTGACGTTATTATTCACGAGGAAGTTGCTAATTCACTTTCAGACAGGCATAAAAACACTCTCAGGAAATTGAAATTACCATGTAAGATAATGAATGCTCTCTGTGGTAAATAATTCAATAAAATAATTTTCCCTGAAAACTCATGTGCTATTTTAACCAAACTGGAACCTATATTAGTGTGTATGATGGTATGGTAACATAGATTATTATTATTTTAAATTCTCCTCAAAATAGAGACCATAGACAAAAAGAACCAATCAAATTTTCCTCTCGACTAAATACTGAGAGCTGGTTCACAGCGAATCACAACCAATAACACAGATTATGATGGGTTTGTGATGTTGCCTTTTGTGAACAGCGGTTTGTCTTGTATTTTTTCGTGGTTTAATTTGGACATGGATTTGTCACTTTTTCTTTGACCAAAGAGTTTTAAATCCTCCTTTCGGTATGTTCCGTCTTTCTTTTATGGTAGAATGCACAACTCAGGATTTAGGGTTGCTGTCTACATGAAAACTACTTAACTAAGGGTTTCCAGTGGCATAATTTAAGATAACACGTAGGAAAAACTGTCTCCAAATACCAAATTGCCTTAAACCACAGCTTCGTCGTCTCCTCCGAATGTGATACCATCGGATAACTCATCACGGAATGCATTCTTTCATAAGCCATACGACAGGTGTCTCGTGTGGAGTAGTTTATGTTTTGCCTTTCGGGGGCACCTTGATTCTACCTCGGTTTTTGGTTTGTAAAATGTTGATAAGTCTAGTTGTCTCGCCTGCGATTTCTGTCGCAGATAGCGAGACTAAGGGTTAGTTATCCGGCGGCGGCGACGTTAGCTCTTGACTTAAAAGCTTAGTATTTCAGAAGTTAGAAAATCTGGATGGTTCATACTTTGTATATAGATGCCTTATCTTACGAACTTTCCATCTGTCATATGATCAATGACCTTGACCTCATTTTCATGGTTCAGTGACTATTTGAAAAGAAAGTTAATATTTTTTGTTATGTTAGTTTCTCTCTTATTATAAGTAATAGGATAACTATATTTGGTATTTGCGCATCTTGCAAGGTCCCCATGCCTGTCAGACAGTTTTCACTTGACCTTGACCTCATTTCATGGATCAGTGAACAAAGTTAAGTTTTCGTGGTCAAGTCCATATCACAGATACTTTAAGCAATAATGTCTTCTATATTTGGTATATGGAATGGTTGTAAGGTGTACACCTCCAACTGGATGGTGTCATCTGACCTTGACATCATTTTCATGGTTCAGCGGTCAAAGTTAACTTTTTGTGTTTTAGTCTATTTCGCAGATACTATAAGTATTTAATCAATTATATTTTGGTGTATGGAATGGTTGTAAGGTGTACATGTCTGTCTGACAGTAATCATCTAACCTTGACCTCATTTTCATGGTTCATTGGTCAATGCTATTTTTTTTCTTGTTTGGTCTGTTTTTCAGATACTATAAGAAATAGGTGAACTATATTTGGTTTGTGGAATGATTGTAAGGTGTAAATATATGTCTGGCATGTTTCATCTGACCTTGACCATATTTTCATGGTTCATTGGTTAATGTGGAATTTCTCTGAAATTTTCTGTTTTTAACTAACAACTCTTTAAAACTGCCCTTTTTTTCATATTGATGTAAAAATGTTTTGACGTTTTATATACAGACAGTTCAAACTTTATGTAATCAATTTCCCATCTACTGCACAATGAGTTTCGTGTAAAAAAAAAAGTAAAAAAGAGTTATATTTGTCAGCATGTTATTCCTAAATTTACTTGATTGATTTGGGTATGATTAACCCATTTTTTAGAAAGAAGTTACATATTCCAAAAATGCGTCTTTTGTCTCTTTTACAAAAGTATCTTTGACATTTACATGTATAGAATAAAGAATTGAAACGGGGAATGTGTCAAAGAGACAACAACCCAACCAAAATATACAAATCAACCCAAGGCCACCAATGGGTCTTCAGAACAGCGAGAGGCAGCCCCGAGCTGGCCCCGAAACACAATGTACACTAGATCAAGAAATTGGACGCCATTCTATGCTACGAAACATATAGATGAACCAAAATTAAAAAATACACAAGACCAACAAAGGCTAGAGGTTCCTGACTTAGGACAGACGCAAAAATGCGGCTGGGTTAAACAGGTTTTATGAGCGCTCAGCCTTCACCTTCATCTCAAGCTAATGTAGACATATATAACTTAAGCGTCCACAATTTTGTGTGTCACTGCCAAAGAATAGATTTTAGGGTCCCTAACAAATATTTCCTCTGCAGCTGCCCCAAAGAGCCCATTCTTAACGAAATCTGCAGAAGGGGTCTTTTACATATATGTACTACAGTTTAGTTGCTATCTCCCTTTACGTTTAATAGGACGGTGCTAGCTATGAAATTCATTAATAATTAAACTACAAGCCATCCCCTGTATTTCAAAAGGCTATCTGTTTCTTCAGAAAATACTTTGCGTAGTGATTATGTAAGCAATCCTTTCATTTTTTTACACGAGACTCAGATGAAGTCCAAACAACAAAAAGAATCTTTCATTTATTTAAATTCATGTATGATAATATATAGTATGTGTTTGGAAGCAGCGGAATAAAAATAGTTCGTTAACAAAGACTGTATTACTAATAGACATATACAGAATTTCATCAAGCATCATACATCTGACACACTGTCAGGCTTTATTAAGATGTTTTTGACTTTTTTCGAATTGTTGGCACGTTTCTTTTATAGAAACTATATATTTCTTTACTCCTTGATATCAATATGCCGGCATTTAGTAAGCAAGCTAGTCAAGCTAGCTACTTAGACCTATAATTGTTCACTTTTTATACATTGTGTTTGGATGGAGAGTTGTCTCATTGGCACTCATACCACATCTTCTTATTTATAGTCAGTGCATTCAGCAAAAGACGTCATTGGTGTTGTAATGTTCCACTTTCACTTCAAATGCTGGACATCTCTGGTCATTTAAACGTTAAAAAACAATATATACCGTACTGGTATCTAGAAGTTCTTGTTGTACATAAATGTGATTCCTATATATATATAACTTTTTATGTCTTAGTCAACTATTTATGATATTGCACTTTTAAACTTTAATTTTAATTTTTACCACTGTTACCAGATTGGAAATAAATAATTATAAGATTCACACGACGTAATGCTCAGATGAAAACGAATGAACGGAAAAACATACTTTACTTAGTCCAATTATATGCAGAAGAGAGGCGGAAGATACCGAAGCATTAATCAAACTCATAAGTCGAAAACAAACTGACAACGTTATGGCAAAAAATAACGATAACGTCCAAAAGACAAACAACAGTATACAAAACACAACATAGAAAACTAAAGACGTCGCAAAACGAACAATACAAAACACTGGGTTGATATCAAGTGCTCTGGAAGGGTAAGTGTAGCAGGCTCCCGGTTGGCACCCGTCGTGCTGCTCATGAAAGTACAAACTTGGTGATAAGTCTAATTTGGTGATGACACATTAGTGTTATAGTTCCTTGAAATCCGACTACTCACTTACATTACAAGAACATAGTTTATCTTAGATAAGCGTTATGTTTTACTGCAATTAATTTCGACATTTTAAATTGTCCCGTACTGTGTTGCAACTATTGTGTTTCATTGTTTGTCTTTGTATTAACACATGTACAAGTTTCTATATTTCTATCTTTTATTTTAAATTTCCGTTTATGAAACATCAGACAATATTGTAAAAACTATTTATTTTTTTATAACTATTTTCACATTTTTAAGACGATGGAACTCGCTGTTTATACATGTTTTGCTATCGAATGACCAGATGTTTGCTCAAAGCTTTGTTGAAGGTCGCCTTTTGGCTTACTAAGTGCGCATCTAAAACGCCGCGCAAAACTTTTTCTACCAACAGATTGACAAAGACAATGATGGATTCTATGAGAGACTGAGTACGGCGTTGAACAACATGGTTAATGTTCTAAAATGGGTTTGATGATTTACTAATGACGTCCTCTTTTGCTCGATTCTAGATTAAGATTTTGTTGATGATTAAAAAAGAAAGATCTAAGGACAGCGCTACAGTCATGAGAACTAACTTTAACCGATGCGAACCTAAAAAAGATCTTGATTGTGACATCATAAAAACAGTAAATAAGAAAACAATCTTGACTTTCGTTTGAAACACTATTTTTTAAAGTTCTAGTTTAAAAGTCTATTATGATAATATCAATTCAGGGTGACAACTTTTTAATAAAATTCGAAGATCATTATCTATATTTGATCATTTTAACATATTATTCATTCAATCAAAAAGTCAAGTACATAAGAAGCTAAATAAAATGGTATCCCCTACCCCTACACACAGACACATTATAAGTTGTCTTGTAATTGACAAAATATATCTTGCAACGTTCTGAACTACTCCCCGTCGAAATTAATCATGTATTTCTCATTTATATCATCATACATGCTTTCTTTTTTATTTTTCAAGTTTTCTTTTCCAAAGCTTAAATTTGGTTCCTTTCTCTTCCTCGTTGCATTTTCCATGGCAATGGTGGTTGGTTTTCGTCTACAAACTGCTTCTCTGTTCTTCACGAATATACCACAGATGACAATTAAAACACTTCCAGCTGCTACACAGATGACGTAGATAACAACAGTACTGTTACCATTTCCTAGAAATCATCAATATATTATAGGATTAAACACATTTTTCTTTAGGTTATTGAGGTGTAAACTGGGGCGATTACATGTAACTCACAAACTGAATAAATGTAAAGTTTGTGAGTCAGCGGCCAAGTTAACTTTAGGATTAAACATATTTTTTTCTAGAGGTTATTGATATGTAAACTGGGGCGATTAACTCACAAAGTGAATAAAAGTCCACAGGACTGTTATGTAAAGTTTGTGAGTCAGCGGTCCAGTTTACACATCAATAACCTCTAGAAAAAAAATGTTTTTATTCCTTATAATTCTTAACCCAAACATTTACAACTTTTAATAAACATTTTATTTTCATTGGCATCTATTAACCGTCAAATCCAGTCGTAACTATAAGGAGTTAGCCACCATACTGACTGGCTGGAATCCATAAATGTTCAATTAATGCAATAAAATCGAAAATGAAGTAACACCTACCTCAAAAACGCCATGTTAATGAGATATTATCTGAATTTAAAAGCGTACAAGTAACAGAATAACCTTCAGCTTGATAGTTTTCATTCGTATGAGTATTTTCTTTAATTATAATTTCATACATTTTTCCAAGCTCTTATATATATACATTATTTCTATGTGTGATGCATTAAAACAGGAATAACAGTTCTGTAGTGTTTTTGTTTCAATATTTCAATTTCCGTAGAACCCCAGGATCCCAAGAAAGAAAGAAGTTTCGGCAGCATCTTCTATCGAAGTGTAAACCAAGAGAACAAATTCTAACGGACCAATCCCATTTAAGTACACATGTATTTAAAGATATGCAAATCAAATAAGAATTATTTATATCTCTTATTTATAATATTGTGAAATTCATAGAAATTGTAATTTACATTAAAAAAAAAACGGCCAATGTACCCGGCTTTTGTACTATCTATTTATAATATTGTAAAATTCATAGAAGTTACACGACGTATTCATTAAGAATGTAATGTTATTATAATTTATATAAAAAAACGGCCTATAGTATATACAAATGTATATGATCCGTCTGTTTGAACTTATTTATTTAAACGATGTTGCGAATCAGTTTTACATTCCAGGTGCAGTCGGCCTATGTTTCATTTCGGAAAAATAACTCTGAATCCCTGCCGTGTGGTACTGTCTCGTGCTCTGAACAATTTAGTAAGTATTGCTGCTACTAACCAGAACAGATTAATTTGAACCGTGTAGATTGATACACTTAAAAATGTCCTTACCTTTCACAGAACACCCACATATTATTATGACAGTACAAATGTAACTGCCCGAATCATTTACTTTGTTTGTAATAAGATTTTTAGGCTAAAAGTAAGGAACCATAATTCAACTATCCATTTAACTGAATACCAAACAAACGATCTGTCTTTCTTTGAGACTTGAGAAAATCTGCATTAATATACACGACGTAAGTAGCAAGACATACATGTAGTCCTCATACATATCATACAAAGCTTGTTTTTTTTTTTGCGTGCAAAAAAAAAACAAGAAAACAAGGTTTACTGATAGAAAATTCCTCTCTGGGAGATTTTAATTTAAGCTTCGTTTGCTTAAACAATCGTGAATTAAATCATACAAATAAACAAATGATTAGCTTACCTGCAGTCTGACCGCCAGCATTTAAGCCCGTCACTGTCTTGTCTGAATCAATATAAATAAACTTTTATTTTGATGAATTATGTTACTCATAACTTAATATACAACCTAGAAACTACGTAATATACAGTACTAAATAAATGAAATAATCCTTGAAATATTTTGCTTTGGCTTAATAGACGTATTGATAAAGTTATAATCATAATGCATTTTTTCGATCAATTTTTCTGCTACTAGTATTTTTTGTAGAAACGAAAAGGTTAACTTCACGCTAACTTAAAGTCTAATACCTGTATCTTCGCATTGCACAAGGTCATGTTTTTCTTTGACTGTTATTGACGTCTGAATACTAAATCCATTGAATCTTGGATGTGTACTGATTGATAATTAAAAATTAGATGCATGATTTTTTTATTAGTTGTTATTGGCGTTGAACTAGCTGTCAGTAACTGCGAATACTCTCAGAACTGTACTTAGTGTCTTTTTGTTGTGGGGATGTATAAGTACCCTGCCACGCCTACTCGATGTTTTTGTTAAATGTATTTCTATTTGTAGTCCACCTGACGAGTTAAGCCTTTTTCAACTGATTTTTATAGTTTGTTCTTATGTTGTACTGTTACACCACTGTTCCAGGTTAGGGGGAGGGTTGGCGCCGTTAAACTAGCTGAACCCCGCCACATTCTGTATGTGCCTGTCCCAAGTCAGTAGCCTGTAATTCAATGGTTGTCGTTTGTTTCTGTATATCATATTTGTTTTTCGTTCATTATTTTATACATAAATCAGGCTGTTAGTTTTCCCGTTTTAATTGTTTTACATTTGTCATTTTGGGGCCTTTTATGGCTGACTATGCGGTATGGGTTTTACTCATTGTTGAAGGCCGTACGGTGACCTATAGTTGTTAATTGCTGTGTCATTTGGTCTCTTGTGGAAGTTGTCTTATTGGCAATCATACCAAATCTTCTTATTTTTATATAAAGCAATACTAAAACAATGTTTAGCTTTTAAAACTGCACACAAAGTGTACCGTGTATGGAACATGGAACATCTTATTTTAAAACTCAGACTTTATAAAAAAAAAAAGTTGTAACATAATCCAAGCAAATTAATCTACAATTAAGACAGCCACATATTTTGTTTAAATTAATTAGTATAAATGTACGGATTTCTTCTATTGTACACTATTTATCAAGGGAGTGTTTTGAAACTGGTGGTGAGTTTTTTAGCGTAGGTTCCGTGTTCTGAACCTTGGTTCATAACACACTAGATATTTTATAAACTGGGAAGTGCTATGAAACTCCTACACAACAGTAAAACCCTTGTCAAAGTGGGGCATCCGTTGGGCTGTGCGAGATGTAAAAATACGCAGCCAAGTCCGGTCAGAATGGAGATGTTAATTACAATGCCTCGTGTAGAGAGAGTGTCATGCTCTCTGTTCGTTAAAACACCTAGCAATAACTCGTTGAGGGGCCCGGAGGGGGCCTGTTACAAGGCTAAATTGCTGTCCCTATTCAAAATACACTTATTTTCCAGGCGCATTCCAAATTTCTGGCCCTTCAACTCGGTCGACCCATATTACAGGACCTACTTATTGTATTTATTGCTTATTTGTTCTAGTCCTTAAGATGCATGAGATATTTGCAACTGGACATTAAGCAAACAACAATCAATCAATCAAATCTGAGAAGACGCACACATGTAATTTCAGAGGAGTTGTGATAAAAAGGGAACGTCCATAGAAATGAAAGTATTCCCTCCTTTTCTAATAGCATGGACCATACTGAATAATTGTTTGATTGTTAATTGCGTAACGTCAAGTGATCAATTTGTAAAGCATAATCTGAAAGACCTCGTGTAAAGTAAATGGAAAGACTGAACATGTAGGGGCGTATATTTCTGAATGTGTATTCTGTACACGACGAAACTTTGAAATAAATACAGGTTCCCCACAAAAAGGATGGGCGGAAACCCAAAATCTAGATGTGTTTGTGATAAACTTCACGTTTCTCCTCTATACAGTTTTGAAAAATTTAAAATTCCGTGGAAATTTTATTATTGAAAGAGATTATAGCTAAACATTGTTTTATCATTTTACAACGCAGCCGACATCAAATATTATATTGACGAATGTTGGTACTGCTGTCGGGCATGCTAAATAGCTAAGGGATAATTTAACATTTCGTTTTCGTAAATTTTGATCTCGGATTTTCTAAAAAAAATCCTTTCAATCGTGTCTAAAATTCTGCACTCTAGTTTTATAAAGCATATCGTTCATCTTACAATTTTTAGCTGCATGTTCCACTGTACATCGGTATCAAGTGGCGATATATTAATTAGTTTCTGGTTTAAAACAGCTGTAAGGGAACGATCAATGGCTTTTGATTTTCTGTGCGGGGTGAAGGCCGGGCAGGAGAATTTTGAAAATGAACAACTTGACCTGGTAAGAACTAAAAACAAATAACTTTGCACAAGACAGGATGAAAATGTATATTCTGCAACAGAAAATGCAGGAAACACTGAGTGTACAAAAGTGAAAATAAATGCGTAGCAACAAATGTAACTAAATGACCAATCCGCAAAAAAATTACCCTGCCCCCTCCCAGAATTATAAAAAAAGATCGTTCCCTATGTAATTTCGATTTTATTGTTTGTAGCGCTGTTTTAGAAGATGAATACAAACAATACTCGTCTGCAACCTATAGAGTCGTGAATGTACACTATGTACAAAGGTACGGTCCAGGGTGGGGTAATATTTTATTCATTTTGGACTGTTGAAAATCAAATTGTGTATACTAGTATATAATTTATTGACCAAGGTCACGGCAAATTTGGTAAACAAACTAATGCAACAGAATCAGTGAACAGCGCAATATCATACTCCTCACTTTTGCATGGCAGCATAGCATCTACTCATAAAACTCATTCTGTGAAATATCAAAAGTTGCGTTCTATATTTTGAATGCATGATTTATTCATAATTTAAATTAACTTTGATTAATTTGATTTTTTCAATTTTTATTTGTTTTCTGTTGTTGCTATAAAATAAGAAGATGTGGTGTGATTGCCAATGAGACAACTCTCCACCAGAGACCAAATGGCATAAAAGTTAACTACTCTAGGTCACCGCACGGCCTTCAAATATGTGCAAAACCCATACCGCGTAGTATGTTATAACAGGTCCCGAAAGGAAAAGTGTAAAACAGTTCAAACGAGAAAACTAACGGACTGGTTAATGTAGAGAACAATAAACGTAAAACAAATATGATATACAGCAATAAACGACAAATACTGAATTACAGGCTCCTGACTTGCATGGGACAGACTCGTACAGAATGTGGCGCGGTTAAACATTTTAACTTTGCTATTCAGACAGAACTTTATACGTAGTATTTAAAATTCAATCGATTTTGGTTCAGGAAAGACTATGTATAATGTTTTGCTAAATTTATCTATTATAATTTACTAATGTGTACAAAAATATCATTTATTCAAAACACGACGGATACACATGTACTTGTAGATATCGTCAAGAGGTCAGATTGTATTTCGTTTTATTTTTCCTAATAAATTGATCGGTGTTCTGATTTACAATTTAGTCTACATGGACGATTGTAGCAATTCAATATTTATAACATTTTTCTTCTTTTTAATCTTATTTTATATTGTTTTTAAAGATAAAAGCATAGATCGTCTTATTTTTTAGAAATCATTTAAAGATGTAAGGTAACAAGTTACCGATTGATGAGTTTTGATTTACATGTCTAAAATCGATGTGAATCTCTGCCTGTTACCGTTCCGTATATTACTGTATCTGACAAAAGCGGTACAAGATCGTTTCCGTCGGGTTTACTACAAGATGATAAGGGTCGGTTGTACGGTGTTAGTTGTCTACACTCACTAAAGTATGATCATGCATGCGCATGCAACGAACACTTACATGTTGTACGTCCATCTACAGCATCTACAGGAATGCATCCCTTCACATTATCACACCTGCGCATGGAAAATAATAATGAAACAAATTCCTAACTTTCTATATTTTTATTTATAAGCAATAATATCTGTAAACACGTTCTTTCTGAAATACGTGTTCCGTATACCATATTTTTATGCAACCAAACGACAAAAAAAAATTAAAGATTCATATCAACAGGTAAAATGTACGGACAATAGGCTAGTATCCACAGTATATTTCAAGCTCTCAGATCTGTGATCAACACAAAATATCCAAACAAACCAAAGTAAACAAAAACAAAAAACAAAGAAAACGAAATAAACACACAAAAAACATGTATATGGTATAACTCGAGGGTATAACGTGCTTACAATACACTGAGGTATTCAGAATTGGGGTAACAACAAATTGAAGCAATTCCAGAGGCAGTCCTGACGTTTCCAGTTTGGGGTTAGCTTTATTTGCTTTGTGTTGAGGGTATCAATCTGCTTGTAGATGGAGAATAGCTAAAAAGCACCTTCTAGGTTTTGCCCAGCTCGTTTTAATATGATTGTACCTGGTATAATTTAATTTAAAGTGGTGTTTCACTTTGATATTTTATGTTGTATCATACATAATTAAACAATTTTTAGGATTTCTCCTTCAATTTTTTCTTTACATAATTTAAAAAATTGAAAACAACACGTTTTATAATTTCATGCGTCCGAAGCGCTTTTCTGGATTTACCTTCATCAGGAACGCTCAAAGTTAAACATTTGAAATCCGAGGGATGTATAAGTACCGAAACAGTTGAAGAGCTATATGACAAAAATACCTAAAACAAATAGCCAAATCCATCTAAGGTCAACTTTGCCTGAGGGAGTTGAAACCTTAGTTTCTTTATAATTTCAAAATTTATAAACGGGCAATTTTAGAAAAGTTTGTTATAAATCATGTCAGTACCGAAGTACTGACTACTGAGCTGATGATACCCTCGGGGACTGATAGTCCACCAGCAGAGGTATCGACCCAGTGATGTAAAAAATTGAAAACAACACGTTTTATAATTTCATGCGTCCGAAGCGCTTTTCTGGATTTACCTTCATTAAATGACACAAGTAAATTTTGCTATTTATTGTTTATTCGCCAAATACAACTTAAGAGTAGGTTGGAATTTCCTCAGACAAAGATGATCTTGGTTAGTTTGTGCTGTAGTTTTTTTATACGATTAGTTATAATGCTTTGTGTTTTTCCATTTCAAAATGTTGGAATGTGTTTCTAGAACAAATTCGGCAGGAACGTTAGTGCCCTAAATCAACTTCACTTCCTGTTTCAGGCGTATGGATATCAGTAACATAGTTTTCTGCTACAATTGGGCTGTTACTGCTGATGATGTAGTACCAGTCTTCGTAGTTACATTGTGCCATCAAGCCCGATAGCCAATGCGCTAGTCCTAATATGATTGATACATTTTTATCCTGCAATCGACCATTGTAAAATACAAATGCAGGTGTATCTAAAGGTGAAGCGCCAGAGTTAATAATGTTAAGTATCCGTATATAATCTCCTTTCATCTTGTTTCCTCTTACGAGCGCGACGAGCCTTGATTGTCTTCCTGTTCAAATAATAACAAATCAGAGGTTTGTTCTATAATGCTTGAACATTGTATTTGTCTCTCTTTCTTCCTGATTAACAAAGATCAGAATCAAAATAGTTTGCTTTACGGATATTTCCAATTGAAATAGTTCAAGCATTATTTACATAAAATCAATTTTGATATATATTTTTCCCGATCTACTATACGTTAATATCATAACAAATATATTTAATATTAATTATCTTGAGACCTTTCCGTGCTGTTACATCTGCATTGCTCTGCGCATTTGATACCATATCGTTCGTCAATGCATTTTGTACAGTTATCACCTTTCGAAAAGTGACCAATCGGACATTCTGAAAGAAGTATTTAAATTTTAAAGACACAATTTTCATTTGGTGATGCGGTATTATTTAAGAGAAAACAAAAAATTACGGTCTTATTATCTTCAGTGATATTGGTGGCAAGTGTTGTTTCATTTCTTATTTTAGTAAGAAACAAAGTCTTTTTTAAAAAGTTTCATTTGTATGACGTTACAGACTGTTCTAAAAATGCAAAATATTTTTCACGGAAAAATACAAACTTTTTTTCTTTTACAGTTTGCTTCATCACGACAATTAATAGAGCAAATTGCCCTCTTATATGTTCAATTTGCTATAATACAACATCTTCAAACTGATAACCATGTCTTATTAATCAACGGTAAATATGTAATAATAAATGGACTTCTGGCTTTATATTATAAGATCGAAAGTGTAAAGTCACAGAAATGTCTTATAGTATGTGATGTGTACATGTAATCGTAGATCAGTGGAATATAACGACTGAATTATTCGGGTTATTGAACGGTGTGAACTTACCACTTATACTATACACCGTTACCGCATACACAATTCCCCGAACACCATATATATATATACACTTTTCTTTTCCCCTTCCTTTGGAATCACACACGATTTGCATCATTCAAAATTATACACAGTTTAAAATGTTTGACGGAATCGTAAGATTCACTATATCTTTTATACAACGAACCTTTTTCAGATATCATAGCAAAACAACTAAGCATTATTAATAACTATAATCTTAGAATACAAATATTCCCGTCCCTATTTAGACTAGCGAGTGTAATTCCTTGTTTTTGGAAAAACTATAAAAGCAGACTGAACAATTATCGTTCAATATCTCTTCTGTCTAACATGAGTAAAGTTTTTGAACGATGTGTATCTAAACTTCATCATGACGTGTTTTGACTTTTGAGCACAAGTCTTGTTTCATGTCTAGCGATTCGACCAGAAATCTAATTTTATATTTATGTCTTATGGACTTAGTAAAGCTTTAGGCTAAAGAAGCCTTAAAACACGATATTCGATTTGAGTTTGTTTATATCAGGAAACCTTTCGACTGTGACACTATGATCGCTCTATAACCTGCAAAGGATGGGCATTGTTGATGACCTTCTCCTAAAATGGCTAAATGATTACTTATCAAACAGAAAACAGACGGTTGTTATAAATGGTTAGCATCTTCCTAGGCTGATGTGAATGCTTGAGTACCACAGGGTCCAAAAAGTGGCCCCTTTCTGTTCCCCATTTACCATTCACCAACAGCATAACGAAGTCAGCTGTAATTATTAATTTGTTCGCTGAAGATAAAGGTAATTATGCATATTTAGATAATCCACTATTTTTGTCGATATCTCTTCATAGCAAAATCAAAAGTCGTCGGATAAATGGTTGGTAAACTTAAATCCATCCAATTTCCAAATTGTGTGTGTTCTACAGGAAGAGCGAACGAGATTTTAATTCAGAACTTAATTTGAATGACGTCATAATAAAAAAAATTGTCCAGATAAATAAGCACGCATGATTAACTTTCTCAAGTGATGGTACATAGAATCATCACATTGAAAAAAAATAGACTAAAGACGTTACCACCACTAATATTTCTGATTCGCCTAATTAAAAATTGAATCTTGAACAAATAGATATATTGGGTGCGTACGCCCATTACTAGCATATGGTGATTTGGTGATTTTGTATTTAACAATTGTAATGGTTATTAAAAAAACAGGTTGGATATATAAATAACAGTTGCTGCGTGCATCGTTAACAAATCTCATCAATCTACGTTTATTTTTGGAAGAATGTGGATTGGACAATCCCAAAATACGAAGAGACAATCATAATCTACTACAGTAACTTGTTAATTGAAAAACCCCATGTTGCTTAACCGATATTCTTCCTTTTCAGTTTAAAACCATACACCAATATAGACTTCGTAACGCTATTCATTTCTAGTCCGTTCCTTCTTGAACTGCAGTAACTTATTATTTAAATAGCTTTCTTCCATTAAAAGTTCGACTCAGAATAACCATCGATCAAATTTAAATGATTTCCCTCTCAATAAAAATTCGCAATTATTGAACAAAACAAGTTAAGTTTTCACAGGGCAACGAAATGATAATAATTTGAACTATCATCTAATATCAAAACTTATATGTACCAAAGGTATAAATATACGGACATATTTTTAGATGTTTATATTTTCTCTCTAATACATTTTAAACTTACCAACACATCTTTCGTCTATTTGGTAATAATTGTTGCAGCAATGCTTTACTATAACAGTCGTGTTAATCATACCTTGTTGTACTCTGAATTAAGAGGGATCTTTTTTAGTTCATAAATATTTAATTGTAATAAAAAAAAACAATTAAGAATTGAATGCTTCTTTTTGTAAATTTATTGGGGTGTAAAAGCCTTGACCGAAGTACATTTTGTATGAAGCGCGGAAGCGCTTCATTCTAAAAATGTACGCACGGTCAACGCTTTTACAACCCTATAAAATTACAAAAAAAAGCATTCAATACTTATAATTACATTTGTTTGCTAGGATCATGAATACACGATTTCTATCAAGTTTTTCTTTTATTTACCTGTGCACTTTAATGTGGAAGCTCGTGTCATTATGAATGTTACATTTCATTTTTAAATGAAGGTTAATTTGAGGAATGACGTGAAATTGCTGTTAGCCAATTAAAATAACGTATTGTAATGAAACATACTTGGCCGTACGGTGACCTATAGTTGTTAATTTCTGTGTCATTTGGTATCTTGTGGAGAGTTGTCTCATTGGCAATCATACCACATCTTTGGCAATCATACCACATCTTCTTTTTTATATTGTAATGTAATTATTAGATTTTGACACAAACGATATAGCAACAGTGGCGGATTAACCGGGGGCATAGGGGGAACGTGCCCCCAGTCCAGGTCACCAAAAAAATTTCTAACAATTTTATTGCTACTTAATCTGCTTATCTTGAGCGGCAATTAATCACAGCTTGATTTGACTTCTTTAATTTAAACTGGCTATTAATTAATCCCAGCTTCAACATGCGTGATTTATGACAACTTATCGGTGAGTGTGTAAATATTGACACCTGTGCGTAATGTCTCTTTACAATAGATTTTATGTAAACATGTTAGGATGAAGGTGGGTGCCTATTAAAACGTTTAAACCCGCTGTATTTGTTTGCACCTATCCTAAGTCAGGAACCTGATGTTCAGTGGTTGTCGTTTGTTGATGTGGTTCATAAGTGTTTCTCGTTCCTCGTTTTTTTTTATATAGATTTGACCGTTGGTTATCCTGTTTGAATGGTTTTACACTAGTCATTTTTGGGCCTTTTATAACTTGCTGTTCGGTGTGAGCCAAGACTCCGTGTTGAAGGCCGTACTTTGACCTATAATGACTTACTTTTACAATTTGTGACTTGGATGGAGAGTTGTCTCATTGGCACTCATACCACATCTTTTTATATCTATGTACATGTTGATTGGAGTAGTACGAATATTTTTAATATCGATTAACAGGTGAAATCTTCTGATCAGGAAAAAAATTACTAACTTAAATCTGTGTTTTTAAAGAATATGTACAAACAAAAAAAGTAAAGAACAAAAATACCGAACTTCAAGGAAAATTCAAATCACAAAGTCCCTTATCAAAAGGCAAAATCAAAAGCTCAAACACATGAAACGAATTGAAAACAATTGTCATATTTCTGACTTGGTACAGGCATTTCCTCATGTAGAAAATGGTGGATTAAACCGGGTTTCATAGCTAGCTAAACCTCTCACTTGTATAACAGCATAAAATTCCATTATATTGACAACAACATGAACAATGTGTGAACAAAACAAACAGACATAATATATAAAAATGTCAAAAATAGGGGTACATCAGTCAACATTGTGTTATAAACTTAATCACTATAAAAACCAACAAATATGTCAACAAAGAAAAGCAAAATGGCATATAGACAAAGCACGTAGGCAAAAGTGAAAGACAAGAATACACAAAATGACCACAGCACAACAACACATTGGCGGGATGCATAAGTACCTAGCCATGCCAAAAGGATATAACCAAAAATGAACTAAACAGTAAAGGTTAATAATTTACAAAGACAAATAAAATAACACTATAACACTTAATTAAGATAAATAGACGTTAAGTGTCAAGAATGTTGGTATCGATATATGGGATATGTCTTCATGCACAACAAAATACTCACATTACCATATCTTGTGAATTAATTTTTTTCGAAACTGTCTTTTTTGTGACTTTATTCAACAACAAACTATTTTTTTTTCAATATCATACAATATTTTTTCTAAACAAAAGGAATAAAATTGAGAATGGAAATGGGGAATGTGTCAAAGAGACAACAACCCGACCATCGAGCAGACAACAGCCGAAGGCCACCAATGGGTCTTCAATGCAGCGAGAAACTCCCGCACCCGGAGGCGTCCTTCAGCTGGCCCCTAAACAAATATTTATACTAGTTCAGTGATAATGGACGTCATACTAAACTCAAAATTATACACAATAAACTAAAATTAAAAATGATACAAGACTAACAAAGGCCAGAGGCTCCTGACTTGGGACAGGCGCAAAAATGCGGCGGGGTTAAACATGTTTTTTGAGATCTCAACCCTCCCACTATACCTCTAGCCAATGAAGAAAAAACAAACGTACAACAGTACGCACAGTAAAACTCAGTTTAAGAGAAGTCCGAGTCCGATGTCAGAAAAGGAAACAAAAGAAAATAAACAAAATGACAATAATACATAAATAACAACAGACTACTAGCAGTTACTGACATGCCAGCTCCAGACCTCAATTAAACTGATTGAAAGATTATGTCTTCATCATATGAATATCAGGCACAATCCCTCCTGTTAGGGGTAACCAACAATTTGTTTTAACCCCCCCCCCCTTTTTTTCCACAAAAAAAATGGATAAGCATGGTCTTACATACTAAAAAGTAAAATAACAAAAATACCGAACTCCGAGGAAAATTCTAAACGGAAATTCTCTAAGCAAATGGCAAAATCAAAAGCTCAAACACATCAAACGAATGTATAACAACTGTCATATTCCTGACTTGGTACAGGCATTTTCTTATGTAGAAAATGGTGGATTAAACCTGGTTTTATAGCTAGCTAAACCTCTCACTTGTATGACAGTCGCATAAAATTCCATTATATTGACAACGATGTTTGAACAAAACAAACAGACATAATAGGTAAAAATGTCAAAAACAGGGGTACAGTAGTCAACATTGTGTTATAATCTTAATCACTACAAAAACAATCAAATATGTGAACAAAGACAAACAAAAAGGCATATAGACAAAGAACATTAGCAAAAACGAGAGACAAGAATACAAACATTTACCATAGCACAACAACACAATGACGGGATGTACAAGTACCGAGCCACGTCAAACGAATCACTACAATAACAAGCAAATATGTCAACAAAGACAAACAAAAAGGTATAAAGACAAAGATTAGCAAAAACGATAGACAAGAATACAAAAATTTACCATAGCACAACAACACAATAACGGGATGTACAAGTACCGAGCCACGTCAAATATAATCAATAATGAAATGCGCTATTGTATTTTATATTCAATTCAATATTTTATTTACGTCTCACCTTATGCATACAATTACACAATACAATTATAAAAGCTACATTTTTATACATAAGCCAATCGGTACAGATTTATGAGAGACGATAACAACTAAAACAACATGTATTTACATTAATAAATACTAAACATGAATGATAAAAATATACAGCATAATTATTTATTTATTATTTACAATATAAAGCATCTCGGCGTCTTTTGATTAAAATTGCAGGTTTTGGCACATAATCTAAAAATTATATCTTGATTCGAAAATAAAAATAACATTTTCTGACATTCTGTAAAACTATTAAAATGTTCATCAATTTTAAGAGATTCAGTACAAAGAATTTGTCTAAGATCATTATAAAAAGGACAATGTAAATTAACATGATATTCATCTTCAACAGTATTAAAACAATTAAAACAACATCTCTCTTCCAGTGGCAAATTTTTATACCTCCCGGTTTCCAGCCTAATAGGAGCCACCCCACATTTATATTTTGCAAAGGCACTTCTTTCACTAAAAGGCATCAACAGTTTACAGTCATTTTCAACGACATAATCCTGCCTAAAAATAGTATACGTTCTCAACTTGTTTACCCCGTCTGGAATAGGATGAATTAACAATGCTTTTCCATTCATCAATATATTTATCAAACATTCTTGACATGACTGTATCTTATAAGACATACTTAATAACATAATCCGTGACTAATACATTTATCTATTTGTCCAAGCATACAGTAATATATGTATATTTTTCCTCTTTCAATTACCATGTATGAGGCTATGAATGAGTCACCATTCATAAGGATATGAATGGGGTTTACAGATAAGAGAATAATGGACAATAAAAGAGTGTTATTGTTCCAGGTTACTTTTATTTTACTATTTTTGTCATTTGTCTATTATTAAAAACATTGACTGATGACGTCAGATAAAAAAAAATATATTATAGTTGTACATGTAGGTGCTGTTTTTCTTCTATTTGATATCTAAAAAATGAAAACTACAACTGTTTATGTAGTATCTCTCTCTTTCTCTCGTTTTTCTTTTTTTTTGAAGAGTAACATTTGTTATTAAATTCACATGTATACGACTAAATATGTAGAAAGTTAAAATCAACTAATGCAGAAACTACGACTAAGTTTAAAAAGTTCAACAATGAATATAAAAAGTATGCCAGCAAATATATTTCTGTATACCAAAATACCCAAAATTACTATGCAAATCAATTTATTTTTGTCTTTTTCGGTGATTATTGATATCATTGAAACATTCAATGCATACCGTAAAGATTCTCTCCCAAACTTTAAAATGGATACCAGTCACGCTTGGGTACACGACAGCTCGGCCATGACTGATGTAGTATTTGATCAATTTGAAGACATATATTGAAGACAACTTGTGCTGTCTTATGAGACAAGCGGGGTTGTCAATAGAGACAACTCATTCCGTACGGCCTTCAACAATGACAAAGCCCAAATGGTATCGTATAGTAAGCAATACAAGACATCGGCCTGACGAATTGTGAAACAGTTCTAACGAGAAATCAGCAGCCTGCTTAATGCTAAAACAATTAACCAAAAACAAATATAACCGCAGATAGCAATCAACATTTACAACAACGACTTACATTTGCAGAAAGACTGTATAATTATGCACATTTTTTTTATTAAGGCAGTCTTTCTGTACTGAATCGCAATTGGTGTGATGGTTGGTAGCTTTTATGTAATAGCAAATTTCTCAAAAAATATGAGCATTGATATCTTGCAGACTAATGCATTGCTTTATGTCCATTTTGGATTTTAGAAAAAAAAATGGTGGCCTGATATTTTTTTCTACTTTTTAGGCATTTAAATATGTACGTATGAATTAAAGTTGCTAAAATCTTTTCTAGTAGTTTCAGTTATCACAAAACAAAGAAAAAAACATAAAAGATTACAATATATTTGATAAATAATACACTAGAATTGTCACAGGATTGAATTTTATTAAATAATTGATAAGAATTAAAGATAGCCGCGTACGTAATAAAAATCAACAAACAAAAATTGACTTTCTTCTGTAAAAGAAAAAAAAAAAAACGGGAAATTATCTATTGCATTTATTGTAACTTTTATGTCAATTAAAACGAACTATGAAATATAATTTCATTGGGTTATAAGACTTATATCATTCTTATACTAATATCTTGTACTCAAAAGTATAACATACCTCTGTGTTTTTTCACAAACGCCTGAACCAGGCGGAAGACCTCTAACTTGTATAGTAGTAAAAATAATAAACAGACTTTTAACTAGTATCCATTCCATCCTTTAACATGTTATGATAAAAAAAACAATGCAAAACTCAAGGAAATGAAAAATAGAATACTTGTGCATCATTGAACGAACATAAGGAAATAGCTTTATGTATTAATACGAGTCATGATCAAGTGTTTTTATTTTAAGGGCAGGAACTTCCGGTCATTAAATCTTTATGACGCGAAAACTCAATTTGCACTAATTTTGTCACAAGTGCCCCATTTAACCACTAAATATATTATTTTTTTTCCAAATGCATTTTGTGTTTGAATAACACTTACATACATATATAGTCTATCCTAAATTGAGGTGAATTATATGGTCTTCCAAATACCGTTTCGATTCCTAACATCACTGAAGAGACATTAATTGTCGAAATCCGCATATTGTGTACTAATTTTTGCACCATTTGCTTGCGGTATACCATCTTTTCCGCAAGTTTATTGCTTTCTGTTTGGTATTAAACTAATAGTTAAGATCCATTTTGTTACATCTTGTGATCCATTTATTTGGCAATCGTCAATGGCAGTCACCAGGGTTTAAGAACATCCGTTGTTCGACCTGCTAGTCAAATGCGTTTTGTTAAATTATACTTTTTCACTTTTTTGGTCTTTTGGAAAATGTTGTTTGTGCTGTACTTAGACCCCTCTACCATAAAATTTGCTTTGCATGCACACGTATCAAAATTGCGGTTTTTATCCAACGCAATCATACTAGGTTTGAACGTTGTTTTTAATTTAGACTTGTTTAAATATATATATATATATATATATATATATATTTTTGGTCTGTTGGAAAATGTTGTTTGTGCTGTATTTAGACCCCTTTACCATGAAATTTGTTTTGCATGCACACGTATAAAAATTGCGGTTTTTACATCGCGATGACCGTGAGGTCATATCGATGTATTGCTATCGCCTAAATATCCATTATGCAAATTAGTTTTGGGTTTTCAACCGATCTATAAAAATTATAGATCCGCGGTCACTTATCTAGTGCAAAATAACATTACTTATCGCTTGTTTCAAATTCATTTTTTCAATGGATACTTCTATAAATATTTTTATTAAAACACAAATTAATAATATGAAAATGTGTTGTCGTTAGTTATATATATATAAAAGTAAAAAATCATTGATGATATAAATGCACACGTACCGAAAAATTGTGTTAAAGCTTACGGAAGAATATCTCAATAACGTTTTGCGACACTCCCGGCAAGGACCGATAACTCTGTTATTGTTTTGCGGGAAAATATGAATGGCTTCTCATATCCAATCTTTTAGAAAAATCGTTTTTTTTACAGAAGAGTGTCCACCATGCACTTGCACTGCACTATAATTAGAATAGTAGAATAGAATGATATATAAATAGATGAAAATTATATATACATGCAACCGTAATATTAATATAATATATAACAACAAACCAGATGTGTATACTCTGACACTATTATCATATTAGTATAATAGTCCCAGGTATACTGATTTGTATCACTACAATATAATAGTTATTACGGTGCGGTTGAATTTCCTGTCATTTATTCATCATCCATGCACGAACTTGTATCAGAAAAAAATATATCTCTGTAAATTAACCTCAGTTTCAGGTATAGAGATGTGATCTATTTCTGTTACATGTGCTTTTGACCATCCACAAGAACCTGCGGTCATCCGATGTTCAGTACTTCAGTACTTTGATTATCCAACGCAATCATAAGTTTGAACGTTGTTTTCAATTTAGACTTGTTTATATATATATATATATATATATATATATATATATATATATATATATCAACTTTTTTATATGAGGCCTAGAAACTGGAAAAGGGCGAGGCTTACTGAGCCCTTCAATAGTTTTGTGCAGATTACAAAAAAAAAACATTGATATTTTACTTACATTGATCTAATATTGTTTTTATACTTAAGCCAATAGGTCTACATTTTATCAAATTTCACTGTAAACACAAAACAAAAAAACTTACTTCCTACCCCTGCACGATCCCAAGATTGATGAGAAAGGAGATGCGATACGACATCGAAATTGCACGAAATATCACTTGGTTACTACATTTTGTTACATGTATTTAATCTATCTCATGGCTCAGCGAGAGACATTTTTTTTAAATGTCACCGTCTCGTGCAGACCAATCAAATTACACCCGACGGACGCCAAATGATGACGAGTGCTCTCACTGGCCCCATGTGCCAGGTGAGCTAAAACACAACTTGCTTCACTTTTTTTGTCAGAACTGTAACGTTGCTATACATGTACACATGACATCATAGTTTATTACTTTTAATTTACAATATAAAAGACGATTATGACAGAACAGTATAATCAATAAATAACACATAATTGAGAGGGTGATAAAGCAGATTGTTACCCCTTTGCCTTGGTTGTGAATGTTTTCTCGGGACAACAATCTGCTATATCACCCTCTCAGCTATGTGTTATTTATGTAGTGTGCAAGCTGCAGTTTATGTCATTTGAAAACCTGTATTTCACCTTTAACACCAAGCTTCAGCATTATCATGGAAATATTTAATAAAAGCTGTTGAATCAAGCTTTATATAGAAAAGGAACCCTATAATTGTGGTCTTTTGTGTGATATGCGAATGTATATCATGTCTGTCTTATATATTATATATATATATTCTTGGAAATGTTGCACCTTCTATATTCAAGATAGCCAGTTAATTGAATATGAAAAAGGTCATTATTCAGTCTGAAAATCGTTTCCTTCATGGGCATGATTCAAATAAGGTGAAGGTGAGACAAAATTAGACAGTCCATAAGTGTGCTCTTGTTATATAGAAAATCGTCTTCTACAGCAAGCAATATAGGATATGAGAAAGCTGTAACAGGTAGAAACTCAAAGTACACACATGTATAATTGCTGTTGTATTGTGAATGTTAGTGAAGACTGAAAGATGTTTTAAAGATAAACGGACAGAAAGTCACAGGACAATAAGTCACAGGACATAAAGTCACAAATTTGATGGGACAAAAAGTCACAGGATAAAAAGTCACAAATAATTTGTTGACAATTGTTCGAATATATAAGAGAAAGTACTTGAAATATTTTCTTTTTATTACATACATTCATTTTTAAGTTTAGGAAATTGTTCATAAGCCTTGATAAATGAAAATTTATTAAATTTTAATCATGCTAAGGATATATTTTTTTTTTGGCACCATGAAGCCATTTAAGTACCAAGCCACTTTGACATTTTGTTTTCATAACAATTATTTGACCATTATTGATATTAATTGCATAAATTTTAATAACAAAGTTGCTTTATATAAATTGTTAAAAATACAAAAACAAAAATTTTCAAATTAGAGTTTTCTTGTTCAAATAAAAATAATCTCAAAACTGAATTGTGACTTTTTGTCCTGTGACTTTTTGTCCGTGACTTTTTGTCTGTGACTTTTTTCCTTTGACTTTCTGTCCTTCATTCCTTGAAAATATGCCTCTAAGCGAAATGAATGAACTGTACATGCGCTATCTGTTTGAACACCCTTAATCTCTTCAGTTGCAAAACGTCAGGAATTGGTTTAGAAACATCAACACCAAGTCGGTTAGTTAGTCGCTGAAATTTTCCAGAAAAACAAACAAAAATATAAAATTTAGCTTGTATTAAAAAGTTGGATGATTTGACAAATGATCAAAGTCTACACGCATATAATTGATAGGGAAACAAACCATTATACATATGTAATACCTTGCTTTCTTCTTGTCATTTATTATACATCACAGCCTTTCCATATATTATCTTGATTGACTAATTATTATTTGTTTAAAGATCGGTGGCAAATATTGCATGCGTATTGAGGACAACCAATTAACAATTAATGCAAGAGGTGTGAAGGTCGATAATGTCGACTGCTAGTAGAAAATGAGGATACATTCGATAGTGGGTTTTAAACGTTTAGATAATTTGATACTCTGTAAACTAAAAGTTCCAATTTCAACCGGACGTGGCTTGCTGTGTATTATTATATTCATAATATTTATTACGAATTTACAAGGGATTTACTGCCGGACGCCGGTAAAAGTCCAAGAAATGGCAATATTTTTTAAATGTAGGTTGAACTCGGATATAAGCTATAAAATACATCAGTATGTAATTGCTTGGTGATAATACTATAATTATTGATAATTATAAAATTATCTTTTCATATAATTATATGATGCCTCATAGTATCATTTTGTGACGTTACGCACGGTGTTGGTACAATCTATTTTGATAAAAACTGTTTTTGGAATCAATGCGTTGACTGATTAGCTAAATAAAAGTAGAGTCATACAACAGTAAAAAATGAGATTGAAAAAATAAATATCTTAAATATGACATTGGCTTACACCATTTTAAAACAGAAAGGTCATGGTTTACACTTCATTTTAGAGTTTAGTAAAAAAGAATGTTGTATCTAAATTACGATTTTTTTTCAGAACGTCATAGAACTGACTAGAATATTGCTTTTGTTAAACTTTTCTGACGTTAAAGCAGAATCAACCTCGCTTTAACCCAAAACCGACCTGTGAAAATGTTTTAAAAAATTATTATGAATGAAAGCTCGGCAAATACCCGGTTTGTGCAATTATATGAGCCGAAAACAATATTTAATACGGTTATATCTTGCAGGAAACATTGTTGGACAAACCAAAGCAATTACTTGAAAAAGCAAAGCAATCTTGTCAAACGTTAACAACTGATATGGTGATTTTTTCAATCGCAGTTTGATCGGCTGTATATCAAATACGCATGTTTAGATAATATGCTCCCAATGGAAGCATACATTAAGAACTGTCGATTCGAGTCTATATACAGCTACAGATGTATATGGCCCTGAAAAAAAAATCAACAAAATAGCGACGATATCCATGTAACTTCATTCCGGTTTTCGTTATCTCGGGATCTTTCATAAAACATCATAAAGGAGCATCCGATATCCTGCTAATTTATATCTGATTATCCTTTCATATGATATTTATAAGGCCTAGATTACACCGAAAGGAAGCAATCTATTCACGTGTATAGTTTGGTTAAAAGGGTTTTAACAATTAACGCCATATTACACTAAAATTTACAAAATCAAAATTTATCAACTTCAACCTCACTTTTAGTTATCTTCGATCTTTTCTAAAATAAGTAGACATGGCGTCATTGAAAATAAGCAGCAAAGGAAGCAGTGATTTTTAAAGGTGACCGATTGGGGGGTAATGGTCGATATAATGGTCTAGTCAATATTTAATTTGAATAAAAAAAAAAACTTCTGTGTGACTTTAGATATTGAATGAAGCATTTTTTTATGCGAATATTTGATTGTAACGCTTTCTGGAATCAATGTTGTGCATCACGATGTACAACACCATTATTATAATGGGTTAAAGGGATGAACAAATATGTCCCTTTTCTGTCACAGTACATGTATTGCAATATGCGTCTTCACATTAGGTCCTAAAATTCTATCTACGGGTGTTTTCGAATGTCCATACATGCTGACTGGTATTAATGACATTAGTATATTGGGGGAAGTTCTTATGCAAGCAATATTTTTCTAATTCTATATTCAATATCAAACATTTGTAGGCTGCTGATATTTTCAACTCCTAATTTTGCTTCATAGTAAAAAAACCAGCAAGTTTCAAACAAAAGTATTATATAGCAATATAATCATAGAAAATGGAATAAAATGGAATAGTAAATACACATCGCCCCCTACGTCTTTTAATGTCATATATGACGTATGTTGTAGGAATACCCAGATAGCATAAGGAGACGACCATTTGATATTCAGGGAGGGGGTGGGGGGAGGGGGTGTACAGGAGGATATTTTGCAAGATTTAGTAGTAATTTTGATTGGTTGCTACACATGCTTATATTTTTCCGTGCGATCATTTATTTTCACTTCTGTTCACAATTCTTGCATTTCTAACTTATAAAAGTACACACACATAATACTACAAATAATTTAGCAATTATATTAGCCTGATAAATTTTATCCTCGCTACAGTTTTCTTCTTTTTTAAAATTAATTTAATTTAACTTTTTCAATTATTATTTAGTAGATATTGTAAAAGTTAGTCTCCATAGCCACGTGAACATCAGCATGGTTCTGACAATTTTGGTCACACTTAAATCTACATTTTGTGTTGCAGATTATTCATTTTCATCCTGTCTCGGGCAAAATCATTTATTTTTCGGCTCTTACCAGGCCAGGATAGTCATTTTGTTTTACAAGTCGTCCAACCGCCCCCAACTTTTTTAATGTTATGAGGTATTGTGTTATTTCCGCTGAAACAATCATTAACCAAGGTTACTTCATACGTTTTTCTTTAACGGACATGCATGGTTTCGTTTTACGTTTCTATACTGAGTCTATACTTTAAAATGATTTTCCGAAAATTTAAATGTCATTCTACACTTGACCCTATCGTATGGTTCTATTTTTAGGAAATATTTTAAAGTGTTTTATTTTTAAATTATACTTTCAAAAAATGTCTAAGTATATAGTTTAAGTTAACACATTCCTCTTGTATACATCTCACGTTTTAAGTTCAACCAGAATGTGTCTGCTTGTTAATATTTTGTAGACATACATTGCAGTAGAAATAAAACATGGCACAGATTGAGTCATATTACACTACTTTACGTCATACCATAATCAATAGATAACGAAATGTAAAAATAGCTGTCGTAAATCTGATTAAAATGGTCTTTCACTGTCACGGGAAAACCGCCTTTAGAACCTCATTTATTTGACACATATGTTTACTAAGTAAACATACCACCATGTTAGTTAGGCAGTACACTTTTACTATTTATATCACTTTGATAAGGTAAGTTTGTTGTACCTGCATGAATAGTTTTCCAACTTAAAGGACTTGCTTGAATTAGAAATGTTAAGAAATTGATTATCAACATACTTGTTAAAAGGGTGCGGTGTGTGTACACATCCATGCATGAAATATAATACCTCAAATGGCGGCAGCTCGAATGGAGCGGGTTTTCTAATTTACACCATGATTTTTAGGGTTAATTCAAATGATAGTTTTCAACATGGAAAGGATGTCTTTCAGGAACTTGACCTTCTTGAAGGATAAATAATCATAAAGGCTAGTATAGGTATAAATCATGATATTAAAATGCTAGGTATCCAATTACATTTAATTGCATCATAATATAAATTTGATATACATGAAGGGCAACGTTCACGACTAATTATAGCTTAAATGATAAATTATTTATAAACGGATACGCACGGATATATACTTCTCTATATTGAGGGCTCTAAGACGTAAATTTACATGTTGACATGCAGTTTGCGTAACAGCTATTATATGATATGTATTAAGGACTTTTCTCTGATCGCGATGGTAAAATTTAAGAAAAAAAGGAAGAGTTTTATAAAGTGAAAGCGAAAGTAGAAATGAATTGATTACAAGATCATCCTATTTTATACCTTCAAATCGCAAGTACATGTTCTCGTCTTACATACTTTTTATAACAAAAATTTTGCGGTCGTATAATGTTATGAAGGCGTCGTCGTCGTCGTAAAGTAAGGTTTGGATTAATGTTGGTGGTTATTGTCCTAAATGATTAGGAATTGGGGGGGGCCAAAAAAGGAGCCCAAAAAAAAAAGCATATTTCTTATTTCAGGACTATAACATGTATAACGTTAACTTGTGTATAAGTGAATGGATATCTATGAAATTGTACTACAAGGTTCCATATTTCAAAAGGGAAGGTTGGGATTGATTTTTGGAATTATGGCCCTAACAGTTTAGGAATTAGGGGCCAAAGAAATAGGATTGTTTTGGTTTCTGAACAATAATTTGGATATAAGTCTATGGGTCTCTATTAAATAGTACCACACGGTTTCATACCATCATAAATTGCTTATTGCTTGACCAATTTCAATGTAGTTTAATTCAAAGTCTTGAATTCTTGAGGTTCTTTAATATGCTGAACCTAACCGTGTATTTAGATTTTGGATTTTGGCCCCGTATTTGAATTGGTCCACATTGAGGTCCAAAGCGTCCAAAATTGAATTTTGTTTGAATTCACCAAAAATTGGATCGTTGATGTTCTTTGAAATGCCGAATCTAACCGTGTATTTAGATTTTTGATTTTGGGTCCCGTTATCTAATTAGTCCACATTGAGGTCCAAAGGGTCCAAAATTTTTTTTTTTTTATTTCACCAAAAATTGAATTCTTGGAGTTCTTTGATTTGCTGATTCTAACCATGTATTTAAATTTTGGATTTTAGACCATAATAGGTAAATGTCCAATTTCAAATTTTTAAGTTTTTACACCACATTCCTTCTGTTTCAGAAAATATGCTTTGTCAAATATTCAACGACAATCCAAATACAGATATGTATTGCACAATAAATAGAAATTGGAAGTAGTTAGAAAAAGATGCAACATCAAATCTGATTTTAGAGACGAAAATTATGTATAAACATAGTTAAAATTGACTCTTCATTATTAGATATTTTGAAAAATAATTACAGGAAAGTTTTATAGATGTTTTAAGGACATTGCATTATTTTAATGTGGAATAATATTTTGGAAATGATTTTTTTTTCTTTTTTTTGTAAATTTGTAAAACTTCGCTGTAGGTTTGTTTGTTATTCTGTATAGATTAATTTTCAGAATGCTATTTTATATATATCTATATATATATATATATACAACTCGTCTAAACATCAGCCCAACAATGTTAGATCTGTAAATTTGCTTTCGCAAATTTTTTGTTCTTCCCTCGCCGGGATTCGAACTCATGCAACTGAGATATCGTGACACCAAATCGCCTGCACTGTATCCGACGCGCTAGACATATATATATTGATGAAGCGAACCCCTTTAAAAAAATATCTTATATTGTCAATTAATAAATAAATAAATTAGATTATTGGTGTACTTGGATATGCTAACAGTGTAGTTAAATTTTGGATATTGGACCATAATAGTAAAAGTCCAATTTCAATTTTTTTAGTTCTTTGACCACATTCATTCTGTGTCAGAAACCTATGCTGTATCAAATATTTAATCACAATCCAAATTCAGAGCTGTATTAACTTGAATGGAGTCTCCAAATTTGCTACAACTGGTGAGAGTTTGACCTCTGCGGTCGTATCAAGCTGCGGCCAGCGGAGCATTTTATTGTAAGTGTATTGAAGCGTAAAAGTTTTGACAGAAGCTTCGCGCTTCATACTTTAAATTTGCACACGTTTAACGCTTTCACAACCTTATAAAAGTACATTGTTATGCTACAATCGTGAAATTACTATAAACAATGTAAATCAAGGCTTTCATTTATTTTTATACGACCGCAAAAATTAAAAATTTTTTGGTCGTATATTGGTATGACGTTGGCGTCGTCGTCGTCGTCGTCGTCGTCGTTGTCGTCGTCGTCGTCGTCGTCGTCGTCCGGCGTCGTCCGGCGTCGTCCGAAGACACATTGGTTTTCGCACTCTAACTTTAGTTTAAGTGAATGGATCTCCATGAAATTTCACCATAAGGTTCAATACCACAAAAGGAAGGTTGGGATTGATTTTGGGGGTTATGGTACCAAAGGTTAAGGAATTAGGGGCCAAAAAGGGGCCAAAAATAAGCATTTTTGTAACTTTCAGACAATAACTTGTGTGTAAGTGTATGGATCTCTCTGACATTGTACCACAAGGTTCCATATCACAAAGGGAAGGCTGTAATTGATTTTGGGGGTAATTACCTCAAAATTTTAGGAATTAGGGGCCAAAAAAGGGGCAAAAAACAAGCATTTTTCTAGTTTCATGACAATAACTTGTGTGTAAGTGTTTGGATATTTCTGAAATTGTACTACAAGGTTCCATATCACAAAGGGAAAGCTGGAATTGAGTTTGGGGGTAATTGCCCGAAACGTTTAGGAATTGGGGGCCAAAAAGGGGCCAAAAATAAGCATTTTTCTAGTTTACAGACAATGACTTGTGTTCAAGTGTATGGATCTCTCTGAAATTGTACTGCAAGGTACCATACCACAAAGGGAAGGCTGGGATTGAGTTTGGGGGTGATGAATCATAAGGGGGTTCAAAAAATTTGGGGGGGGGGATTTTTTTTTTTTTTTTTTTTCTTTTTTTCCTTTTTTTTTTCTTTTAAAATTTTCCATTTTAAGTTGGTTATTTCTGATTTATATTTAAAAGCAAATAATAATGATATGGTAGGAGATACACACCAAACAGGATGTGTAAATTATTATATAATAAGTATTGTGAAATAGCAAGAAATTTTCAATTGCACAGTATTGCACAATAGCAAGAAATCTTCAATTGCACAGTATTGCGCAATAGCAAGAAATCTTCAATTTAACAGTATTGCGCAATAGCAAGAAATATCCAATAGCACAATATTGCGCAATAGCAAGAAATTGTCAATTGTACAGTATTGCGCAATAGCAAGAAATATTCAATTGCACAGTATTGTGCAAAAGAAGATACTTCGTATAAATTGCTTATTTCTTGATCAATTTCAATGGGGTTTTATTCTTGAATTCTTGGGGTTCTTTAATATGCTGAATCTAACCGTGTATTAAGTTTTTGGATTTTGGGCCCCGTTTTTAAATTGGTCCACATTGAGGTCCAAAGGGTCCAAAATTAAACTTTGTTTGATTTCATCAAAAATTGAATTATTGGGGTTCTTTGATATGCCGAATCTAACCGTGTATTTAGATTTTTAATTTTGGGTCCCGTTTTTTAAATTTGTCTACATTAAGGTCTAAAGGGTCCAAAATTAAACTTAGTTTGATTTTAACAAAAATTGAATTCTTAGGGTTCTTTGATATGCTGAATCTAAACATGTGTTTAGATTTTTGATTATGGGCCCAGTTTTCAAGTTGGTCCAAGTTGGGGTCCAAAATTAAACTTTGTTTGATTTCAACAAAAATTGAATATATGGGGTTCTTTGATATGCTGAATCTAAACATGTATTTAGATTTTAGATTTTTGGCCCAGTTTTCAAGTTGGTCCAAATTGGGGTCCAAAATTAAACTTTGTTTGATTTCAACAAAAATTGAATATATGGGGTTCTTTGATATGCTGAATCTTACCATGTATTTAGATTTTTTATTTGTGGGCCCGCTATCAAATTGGTTCATATTGAGGTCAAAAGGGTCCAAAATTAAACTTTGTTTGATTTCATCAAAAATTGAATTATTGGGGTTCTTTGATATGCCAAATCTAACCGTGTATTTAGATTTTTAATTTTGGGTCCTGTTTTTTAAATTGCTCTACATTAAGGTCCAAAGGGTCCAAAATTAAACTTAGTTTGATTTTAACAAAAATTGAATTTTTGGGGTTCTTTGATATGCTGAATCTAAACATGTGTTTAGATTTTTGATTATGGGACCAGTTTTCAAGTTGGTCCAAGTTGGGGTCCAAAATTAAACTTTGTTTGATTTCAACAAAAATTGAATATATGGGGTTCTTTGATATGCTGAATCTAAACATGTATTTAGATTTTAGATTTTTGGCCCAGTTTTCAAGATGGTCCAAATTGGGGTCCAAAATTAAACTTTGTTTGATTTCAACAAAAATTGAATATATGGGGTTCTTTGATATGCTGAATCTTACCATGTATTTAGATTTTTTATTTGTGGGCCCGCTATCAGATTGGTTCATATTGAGGTCAAAAGGGTCCAAAATTAAACTTTGTTTGATTTCATCAAAAATTGAATTATTGGGGTTCTTTGATATGCCAAATCTAACTGTGTTTTTAGATTTTTAATTTAGGGTCCCGTTTTTTAAATTTGTCTACATTAAGGTCCAAAGGGTCCAAAATTAAACTTAGTTTGATTTTAACAAAAATTGAATTCTTCGGGTACTTTGATATGCTGAATCTAACACATGTTTAGATTTTTGATTATGGGACCAGTTTTCAAGTTTGTCCAAGTTGGGGTCCAAAATTAAACTTTGTTTGATTTCAACAAAAATTGAATATATGGGGTTCTTTGATATGCTGAATCTAACCATGTATTTTGATTTTGGACATTGGACCATAATAGGTAAATTAAAAAAATTGAAGTTCTAAGACCACATTCTTTCTGTGTCAGAAACCTATGCTGTGTCAAATATTTAATCACAATCCAAATTCAGAGCTGTATCAAGCTTGAATGTTGTGTCCATACTTGCCCCAACTGTTCAGGGTTCGACCTCTGCGGTCGTATCAAGCTGCGCCCAGCGAAGCATTTTATTATTCATTGTTTTAATGTTGTCATGGATATACACGTGCACACATAGATGTCGCATGTTAAACAGACATAAAGATAACCTCTGGAATGCCTCAGCCAATCAAAATTACGGAATCGTAATACACGAAACTTCTACGTAATTTATTTGTTTAGAAATATATAAATATTACGGTAACCATATCTAACATAGTTTACATATCCTCTTTTATGAGTGATTTCTAAAGACTAATATTGTCTACAGAAGCAATTGGAATATGTAAAAAAAATATATGGCATAGTACTTAAGAAATCCATATAGTAAGATTTGTGTACCAGCTGTGCAAGGTATGTACCTGTAAACATGTATACATTGTACATGTATATGTCCAATCTGTTAAATTATTTACACCGAAATACCATATTTCTTTAAGTTGAAAGATAGACACGACCGGTAACTACATACAGACAAAACAAGTTTACTACACGACTCATTTTTAGCTCACCTGACCCGAGTTAAATAATCGTAAAATGGTGAAATATGAATTTTTCGGACACAAAAACATCCTCCTGTCCTTATCCCCTTGAAAAAAATACTTTCTTTTACAAAATAAAATTATAGTATAATTAGTGACATGATAATGGACACCAAAATGAAACCAAAACACAATTATACATTTACCATTATATGTACAGCTTGAATAGCGAATAAAAAAAAAGTATTCATATTTTATTATTTATATTGAAAGTTTGAAAAAAGGATAATGAACTCTTCATTTCTTCATATTCTAATTCTGCATTGTATAAAAAAAAACCTGGACGTACATAAATACAATTTGATAAAAACCTGTTCGATTACTTGTACTGTCATCTATTTGTTGTTTGTTGGATAAATTCACATAAAATCAATATGGTAGCGAAATCCCGGCTTCCACTTTATTCTGTTTACAGAAACAACACTTTACGTATAACTAATAAACCGGGTAAACGTATTGTTTGTATGTCCTTGGCTGATATCATATTTCTAATATTTTCAGCATTTAGAATGCGTTAACAACTGTTAAACATGTATATATGCAGTCTTTGTCTGGTAAGTTTTTATCATAGTGTTAATAAGGACAATGGTTAACTTTATTGAAACTATAGTTGGAATCAATTCTATCTTCTCCTCAGTACAAATAAAATAATGTATCATATAACCCTAGCTTTCAGAGTCTCTTATATGGTAGAACGGTCAAAAACTGTCCTCCTCTCTCTCTCTCTCTCTCATATATATATATATAGTAATACAAGAATAAAAATCATATTAAATTTTATTAAGATATGAATGTATTTATTTAAATGCTTCAGCTGTAGAGGACACATATTTCAAGTCGAGTATCATAATAATTAAAATATTTTCTTTGCAACGACAACTTTACAGTTATAAAAACCATGTCAAATGTAAATAACATGTACAATATTTTGACTACACATTGACCCTATCATTTTCTCCCTGAGTGGTAATATGGCTTTTTTGATTGAATATAATGACATTACACAACAGTTTGTGATGATTCATGGGTTTTAATTGTTTTATGTTACACAAAAAACAACAGTTTATTAAACTAATTTAAAAAAAAAAACATAGCACAAAATGCTTACTAATAGATAGATGATTTTATTAAGTAATATTAAAAAACGAACAAAAATGAACTGTTCAATTTAACTACGATATCCTAGAATAGTTTGCATGGTATAATACAGTCAGATAGAATTTAATTATATTAGTAAATAAACAGATAAATCATAAAAACAGTGGCTAATCCAGGGGCGCAGAGGGCGTACGTCCCTTTTAATCGCAAAAAAAACCCAAAAAAACAAAAAAAACAAATCATGTTTTTTTTTCGCCTCGGTGTGCAAGGCGGTATAATTATATTAAATAATCGTTAATTACGCCCCATCCCCCTTTTCAAATACCCTGGTTCCACGCCTGAAAACCTAAAACAAATAGAAATGTCATAAACTGTTATAGAATCTGTTCTTGATATGAACTATAAAAAAAACTCTCCGAACCTTTTCGAAAGTAGAACTCAGTCTGTCCAAATTGTACTTTGGAAGAACTGTCCTAGAGTAGATTTGTCCAACAATTTTCTTTGCTAGAACTACTTCTGTCAGAAATTGTTTTTTTTTTTTTTTCACTGTTATATGTTTTATTTAGTACTTGCATTTAAATGAAAATATCCTCGTTTTACACCACTTACCAGACTCAAGCTAGCGAATAATAAGCCAGCGACCAATAAGGTGTTTTCCAAAATTATTATGTTAGATTAAATAAATAAAACTACTAATCATGTTTGTCTTCGTGCAAATTCATTGCATGTCTTGTTGCTACTGGAAATAATTGTCAATAGGTTTCAAAGGACGTTTCATGTTATTGTATTGTAGTGCGTGGTTTTTAGGCATGATCACTTTGGCGCGTTTTGTCTTATTGTTCGCTGACTTATTGTTCGTTAGCTTGATACATCTAATTTTTCGTGGCTTATCGTTTTCTAGCTTGTCTTTTTCTCTAACAATGTCTTACATAGACTTGCATAATATGTTTTAGGCGCTGCAAACTATTCATGCATGTCAAATTACATTTAACTACATTATTTTTTCAGATTATGTCATTATGGAAGCTAACTGAATCCGGTGTCAGCTTTCATTGTCCTGTTCAATCGCACTGGAAACATAGAGCAGAAACGTATTGTGGTTCTGTGGACGGTTACTTCTGCTTATTTAATCGGAATGAACATTATTTTACTGAATTTTGTAGAAAACACCAAGATTTCGAGGCACCAGGTAATACGATTTCTCACGTTTCTATGTTATATATGTAATATCACTGTATGATCTATTCACTTTTTCTTACAAAAAATAATTGTTCTATATCAATGCAATCTTTCCTTTTCTCAATACCGACATTTTGTGAGGTAGACGAACGCGGCCGTTAAATAATCAAGTTGACTATCGTACACAATTAACATACAAGTCTTATTTTGACTTAAAAGAGAGGCGAACAATACCAAAGGGACATTCATACTCATAAGTCGAAAATAAACTTACAACACAATGGCTAAAAAAGAAAAAGACAAACGGACAAACAAACAAACAACAGTACACAAAAGCCAACATAGAAAACTAAAGCCTGAGCAACAGGAACCCAACCAAACACTGGGTGTTATCTCAGGTGCTCCGGAACGGTAAGCAGATCGTGCTCCACATGTGGCACCCGTTGTGTTGCTCACGTACGTACAAACATATAAGTCTAATTCGGTAGGTTACATTCGGAGAAAATGGGACAGGATTGTAGTTACAACAATTGGAACAAACCCGTCGTCATCTGTGAAACAGATATAATCTCTAACAGTCAACCAACTCATGATGGCGTCCGTAAAATTTACTAGGGGAAGACAATGTACTCACTAACTGCATTCGTTTGAGATTAATTTGAATGATAACAGCATAATATTAGACTGACAAAGTTAATTTTATGTTGAGACACACAACTGCTTCACCTTGCGAAGACGTTTGTGAAACTTATTTCGATGTTTCTCTCCAAAATATATCATGTTTAAATGTTAAAATATATCGTCAAATCAGCTAGGTTTACTTTAATATAAAGAAGTGTTGGCATTGGCAACTGGATCATTTCTATCCTTGGTTTTACCTGCCTGTTACTAGTTGCTAGTTTTTGTATTCGAAAGGACAGAAACTCATAGTTGCTGGGTCATCTAATGGAACACTGCAAGGTGCTGATTGTGATAGTGAGTTCTACCAACCTTTCAAATTCCTGTCTTCTGGAAGCAGTCGATGTGTTTATGAGAAGTCTTACTGCAGTGGGGAGGGACTAGTCACTTCTAGGAATGGTACATTAGAAAAGGACAGATCATGCCGCTGTGATTATACGAGAGGATATGATTTTATAGATCAACCAAAACATCGATGTCATTGTGTACCGTCCGAGGAAGATTGTTCCTGTCATCTTAAGATATGTCCATCTAACTACATTTTATCACCAGGTATGCAAGTACATAAATTGTAAATTTTCTTAGAGCCTTCTTCTCCAAAAATCTCAGCCTATTTCGCCTTTGATTTTATCATAATTATATTTTTATTCCGTTCTTAATTTAATTTTTCCTATAAGTCGACTTTCCTTCGAAAAAATTTGAAACGATATAGCAAAATTTCATATAACGAACATTATTACTAGTATATGAAATTCTATATACATTGTACACGTAAAGAATACCTCTGTCAGTCCATTATACTGCACTGTCAAAAAGTCGATAAAAGTGGGGATATGAAACCTTTTGTTAATTTAAATAAATTGGAGATTTGGGGCATTTTAAAAGTTCGAATTGTTAATTATCCCACGATAACAAACACACCGCCAAAAAGTATTCATGTGCAACAGTAAAGATTAAATGTGAATTAAATTATCTTTAACTGATAGTGTTCCTTTTCATTTTGTTCTATGTAAATAGAGGTAGGGCCATTTATTGTGTATTGTTGAAATAGCAGTACACTGTACTAACATATTGTTCCATGCTTTTAACATTCTTCATAATCATGGTAATACAGTATTGATCAAACAACCATTTCTTACTACGAGGTAAACCAATTAAAGCATGACCATTTTCGAGAATAAGATTGAGAGTATAGTACAAGAGATTTATATCTTGCTTCAGACAATTTTGAATCTGGCTCTGTTATTTATATCTTATTAGTATAAAGCTTTTTTTCAAAAGGAAGAAGACCTGGATGATTTATACCTTGTAGAAAAATGCCTTATGTTACGAAGTTTCTGTTTGTCATATGCCAATTGTCTTAGACCTTTTTTTATTATTTTGTTCTGGCATATGCATTTCTTACTTATTATGAGTATAGGAAAATATTATTTAGTATATGGGATTCTTGCAAGAGTATCATCTACTATACGCAGCTACACTTGACCTCGACCTCATTTTATAGGTCAGTGATTAAGATAAAAGTAACGTGATTTGGTTCGTTTCTTGACTATAATAAGCATATAGGTCAACCATATTTTTGTATAGAATGAGTGCAAGGTGTACATGTCATCTGGCAGGTTTCATCTGACCTTGATATCATTTTTATGGATAATTTTCAATGTTCATTTTCTGTAGGTTTGTCCCTTTGTCAGCTTCTTTAAGCAATAGGTCAACTACATTTGGTGTATTGAATGATTGTTAGGTGTGTACATATCAATTTGGCAGGGTTCATCTGAGCTTTACCTCATTTTTATGTTAAAGTTGTCAATGTTAAATGATCCTGTTTAAATCCGTTTCTAAGATATTATAAGTAATGTGTCAACTATATTTTTGTTCTATGACATGAGTCCAAGGCGTACATGTCTTGTCTAGCAGTTATCATTTGACATTTATCTTATGTTCATAGTTCATTGGTCAATGTTTTAAGTTTTTCATGTTTTGGTCTGTTTCTCAGAGACTGTAAACAATAGGTCAATGTAAGTTAATGTATGAATAAATGCAAGGTGTACATATCTGTCTGGTTGGTATCATCTGACCTTGACCTCACTTTAATGGTTCTTTGGTTAATGTTACGTTTCCATGGATAGGTCTGCTCCTCAGATAATATACACAGTAGGTCAACTAAATTTGGTGTATGGAATTATTAAAAGCTGTACATGTCCGTCTGGCAGGTTTTGTCTAACCCTGACCTGAATTTCATTGGTAAATGGCCAATGCTAAGTTTTTATAGTTTGGTCTTTTTTTCAAAGATACTATAAGCAGTTACTGTAGATTAACTACAATAGGTGTATGGAATGATTTTTAGGTGTACATGTCTTTTTGGCATGGTTCATTGGAACTTGGACTCATTTTTATGGTTCATTAATTAATGTTGAGATTTCGTGGATATGCCTGTTCCTAAGATACTATAATCAGTAGGTTAATTAAATGTGGTACATGGAATGATTTAAAAGATAGACATAGAATAGCAAAGGGATAATCAAACGCATAAGTAGATGGCAAACCAAACGGACAACACCAAGAAATCCACCAAAAACCGTGATTGTTCTCAAGTGTTCCTGGAAGTTTAAGCGGATCCTGCACCACATGTGACACGCGTCATGTTGTTCATGTAAATACAAACTTGATAATAAGTGTAATTTGGTGATGCCACATTCGCGTCTGTGGTTACGACAATTTTAACATATCCGTCGTCATGTGTGGAATAGATATTTTATAGTGATCGACGAACTCGTTATGGCTTCCGTAAGATTTTCGGAAAGATGACTTTAACATGTTCAACTTTACCTCTTGGAACTCCTGGTTTAATAGCTTCTTTGAAAGAAAAATATTGTATCAAATAGGGGATATATACTGTATATGTAGGTGCTACTGGAATGTTGCTTCATAGAAATTTAAAAAAAAAAAATCGCCATTTGGAAGCTGAAATCATCTCTTTCGTTCTCAACCGATCCTTATTGTCAATTTATATAATTATGTAAGTCAAGATATGAGGCAAATTTATAATCAATTTCGATGGTATATACATGTATGCGTTCAAAATAGTCACTAAACTCTGCAATATTATGTGGGAAGACATCATCTATATATCGAAACGTAAATTTACAGAAAAATGCTAGCTTCTTTTCATCCTTCATTAAAACCTCCGGTATGAAGTCTGCCTCATATGAATTAAGGAACAAGTCAGCAAAAATAGGTGTAGTAAGGGAACTTTCAATTGCAAACCGGAAATTATTCATCACATTCACCGAGCTACGGGAAGGACTGTCTAGATAGAATACCTACACCATCAATTTTGTAATTACAACCAGATGGTGTCGCAGTTCCCAACTTTCGAGCTCTGTACACATCCTTTAGTCCTTTAGTCTACGGAGAGGTGTTGAAAGATGAGGTTTGTTAGTCCTGTGATATATTTTTCGAGGATGCGAACTTGCATAGACAAGATGGGATGATCAAACGGATTAAAATTTTGATAAACCATGTCATTTGCATTCGTAAAGGTTACACAATAATCAGTAGACGAGATTTGTTTATTCACAATTCTGATCATCGTAGCTCCTGATATAGTACGATACTTTATTTAATTGCTGCAAATTTAGCGCATTTTTATAAAATTCAAAGATTTTGCAGTTTTAGTATTTACATTTAGAAAAAAGAAAATAACAAAAATACCGAAACAGAAAGTCATTTATCACATGGCAAAATCAAAAGCCCGAACACACCAAACAAATGGAAAACAACTGTCATATTCCTGACTTGGCACAGGCATTTCCTTATGTAGAAAATGGTGGACTAAACCTGGTTTTATAGCTAGATAAACCTCCCACTTGTATGACTGTCGCATATAATTCCATAATATTGACAACAATGTATGAGCAAAACAAAGAGACATAATAGGTAAAAATGTTAAAAATTGGGGAACAGCAGTCAATAGTTTATTATAATCTTGATCACTATAAAACAAATAACTATTTCTACAAATAAAAAACAAAATGCATATAGATACTCTAAAGACAAAGTACATAAGCAAAAGTGAAAGACAAGAATAAAAAAAATGACCATAGCAAAATAACACAATAGCGAAATGTATAAATACCGAGCCACGCCAAAAGTATATTACGAAAAATAGACTAAAAAGTAACGATTAAAGATATACAAGACAATTAAAAAAAACACTACAACACGTAGTTAAGATGATAAAAAACGTCAGTACCTAGAATCAATACTTCAAGACCATCATGTATTATTTGTGAAGTTGATACGAAATATTTATTAACAAGGTCTTGGTATCTTCCGATGAACTTTTTAGAAATGAGACAGCGTTAGTCAGTAAAGTCCAAAATGTCTAATAGTAGACTTCTACACGGCAAGGTTCGAAGATCATTGTTATTGTCATAAGTTTGATGATTCGAATGTGTCGCATACGAGGTATTTGACATGTCTGGTGGCAATGAGATACCAGGCATTTCAGATGTACATGTCCGTTTAGCAGGGTTCAGCTGAATTTGACCTCATCTACATGGATCATGGTGATACTCAGCTTGTAGTGAAACCTTTATCTTTAAGAATAAAATCAATCATGACTATGAGGCATGCAAGAAATTTCGGCGTGTGCAATCTTGTTTTAAATTTCTAAGTAAGTAATAGTGTATTAAAAATGAAATTATTTTAATTTAACCGTTTTAGATTATGACTGTCTTAATGAGAATGAATGGAAACCGAGCTTTTACTGTGATTCAATATCAACGGGCATGTGAGTATTTCTTGTAGAATATCAAATAGAAGTGAATACATAGTGAACACTCTCCTTAACTGGTCTTCAGTTGACGTCATTACTTCAATGTCCCCTTCAGTCTTCCAGGAACACTCAACTGAAAGTGATTAAACTTTGCTCTTTAAGGTAACAGGTACGTAAATGGCTTGTCCAGCGATTTTTTTTTAAAAATTGTATACACGTAGAACTTTTTAAAATTCAAAGAAAAATCGAAAAATTTAAGTGGGTAACCGATTTACTTTCAAAGTTACAGCCATTTGAAAATGTTAGGAAAACACCATAAAGTACATAGACATAACGTCAAATTTACGCCTAAAATGAGAAATTTCAAGCTTAATTTAATTTGCAGTTAAAGTCATTCCTACGATTTTTCTATAAAAATTAAATGTTTTTATGAAAGAATTTTCCTTTCTTTTGATATATAATTTTCATATGGTTACCGAACTCCCTTTTTATATATCAGCCGTTGAAAGGATGTTGCCGACGGGAAAAGATAGAAATTGCATGACGTCGCCGAAAAGGATTACGCAACGTCAAGTCTCCATCAGCAGAATCGTCGTCTACCAACATAGAAATATTGTTACATAAAGACAACGACCGCTTCATCCAGGTGCCTTTTGGATTATAATTTGTTCCTAAACTAATGCGCTATAGCGCCTATGAAATAATTATCCTGTTTGAAAAAAGTATAACTTACCGCGGATTATTATTTTTTTACGGATTTTATGAGACCCTAGGCATGTATAACTTATTTCTTCAATCAGTGTGGGGTTTACGTCAATGAACAACAACTCAATGATTAAAAGATTAAAACTAATGATTAAAGGACATCTTTAACAATGGACTGGTGTATATGTCATATGTCGAGATCTAAATTGAACAGTCTATAAAAGTTATAAACAAACTTAACAGAAACAATCAAAGATCTGTCATAAATATTAAATTCTCCGAATGACGATATACATTCATTGTTTACATTTTCGACCCGAAAATGCATGAAATAATTGCTGCTGCACAACAAGGGTAACTAAACATGTAATACAATAACAAATATATAAGCTTTCAAACAATGTTTTACTAGTTTTTTAATGACATAATGTGTTTTGAAATCGAGTCCAGTATTTTCTGGTCTTTTGTAACTCGTGGCTTCCCTTCAAACTGTTCGGTGAGCAATTCGCGTACACCATCAACACCTCCTCTATTTCCTGCAAGGATTAGATGGCTTAACCGTAAACCAGATCTTGCAATTTTGTTCAACATTGTCTTTGAACAGACAGTAGACGGCTTGTTGCTAAATGTATCCAGTCTAGATTTTGTTTGCTGCAGTTTAATGATTATGCTTACTGTGTACTGAACAGAGAAGCTGTGTTTTTCTAGAATTCTTGGAGAGACTTTTAGCGTTTTGATAAGCTGTTGCAGGGATTGCACATCGCCAATTGCATTGTGTGCATCATAATTGATGCCAACAATATCTTTTACAAGTGATTCCTGGTTGTATGGCTGCTTATTTGTCTTTCTGTCTGGTAGTATTTCTTTCGTTAATGATAAGGTATCAATAAATCCACCGCATTTCATTTCAAAATCTTTCATGATATTATTATTTTGTAAAGCTTTTGTCAAAATTCTGGAATCAAAAAATGCTTTTTTTGGGAAGCCAAGAAATAAACTGTTTAAAAATTTCACTTTCTTCATCCGTCTGCATTATTTCCCCGTTTTTATATAAAATTAAACCACTTTTTGAAAATCCGGTAACTTTAGAAGCAGATGGCGAAATACGCTGAACGGGTACCATATATCGATTAAAATTTTGGTTGTCATATGCTGCAGCTATTTGTATAATATCACAATCAGTACCTGAAAAAAAAAAACAATTCAAAATAAGTCTTTGATATTAATACTGGAAAAATTGCCGTCCGAGTATTCATCTTACGATACACACGGTAACAAACTACTATCTTTTATACTACTTAGCAATACAAAGGGAAACGGATACAGTCCCATACAGAACAAAATAATTTGTTGTTTTCCGTGATACATGATAGCGATTCTGGTTGTGAAGGAGATATTTTTATCTTGCAGTGTCTACTGAATTCCTTTATTTCAGTTAATTTTTCTATTCATTCGGTGCTTTTAATTTTCAGTTAAAAATCTCAGTTATAATTTAAATTGATTTATTGATGAGATAATGGTTATTAAACGTGCAGTGGTGCATATATTTATGTATAATGTTAAAGACATGTGATATTATTACTATATTCAAACTACTAAGTATTGAGATATAGAAAACACCAAGAAATTTCATATACTGTAATACTATAAAGATTTCTGGTAATATACTCAGGTCCTACAGGAACGAAACACATTACATTATAAGTCGTCTTTTGTCCCTTTTTGAATGACAATATAAACTATTTTTTAATGCATCCCTAAAACATATGCGTACATGTTACTTTAACAGCCTGGTCCGGACTAAACGTTTCTTGTTTTGTTTGTTGGGGTCCAATCAAAGAAGATCTGTCGGTTTAATAAATAAGAAAATAACATGCAGCCAAGGCATGACGATTCTATTAGCATATAATAAAAGAAAGCTAATAACAAAATCAATTAATATCTTACCAAACCCTGTAGTTTCAAGATCAAAGTAAACAAATATTTCGTCTTTCAAAGACACAGGATCTTCCGTCACTTCTGGTTCAAGATCAGGAATGTGTGAAATATCATCGGCATTCTCACTCAATTTTGCTGGTGCAGATATAGATGAAGCATATGTTACGCCTTCTCGTATTTCTTTGGCCTTTAGATTCAAGTTGAATTTTCCCTTCTTGACAAGTCTTTTTCTCTTCGCCTCACGGGTACTTGCATTTACTTTGTCATGCTTGCGCTTTTTGTCTATTTTTGTCGTATGCATTAATGTAAATTTTCCAGGTGACAATTTGTGAGCTTCATATACTTGTGGTATATAGGAACGACCTTCATTTTTCTGAATTACTCCAACGCATACTCTGAAAGGAAGGGATTCACTGCTCCCAAAATGCTTTGCTTTTGGTGCCTTTGACGAGATGATTTGATTTAATGATTCGTTTTCTTGTGAGCTGCCACTGTAAGCTATTTTATCTGAATTCTTTGCGTAGGTATTAAACAATTTTGACAAATCGGCAAACATTTCCTGTCCGTTTAAATCTTTGCCATATGGAAGACTTTTATGTTTGTAATTATCGGGATCTTTATGGTAGTTACACCACGATAAATCACATGTAGAATCGTCACCAAAAAAATGGGGAATGATTGACTTAATATTTTGACTTAATTGTTCTGCACGGCTCTTGTTTTGGGCTATTGCATAGTCTAAATTTTTTGTCAAGTAGCTGATCGTACTGGTGGACAATTTACCCTTGTGTTTTTCATGTAAGTGGTATAAGTCACTAACAATATTTTTTCTTTGGTGATTTCTGTTTGATCTTTTAACAATGTCAGAACTAATGCTTTGTTTTAACCTTGCCAAAGTAGTTGTATCGTCATCCATTATTATACAAGAAACTTTGCACCCTTTGCACTGCAGCTCCTGCACCATTTCAAAGGCTAAGTTTGACTCCATCGACTTTGCGCTTCCAGTATGATTTTTCCTACAATCGTGATTTCCATCTCCCTTTTCATCCACATACATACATTTTCTGCAGTCTGCTGATTTAGTTCCTTGACTCACACATTTTCCAGTTTTTTCACCTATCATTGTAGCATGACCTACCAATATAATTTTAAGATTAATTTAAAATCGATGTGAATTTATAACGTCATTCATATTGAAAATTTCTAAAATAAAAAGAAGAATTTGTCTGAGGACACAAATGCCCCCGCCCAAGCTTCGCAATTTTCCCAGTTAAAAAGAGCATAATTCTAGAACGGTAAATGACTCAATAACCAAATTCGAACTCTGTTTACGTGTTGTGGTTCTCAGCATTGAGTATTAGATTCATAAAATTTACATGAGGCAAACTTTAGATAGAGTGGGGAAACGAAAACATTTGCAATTTTCCAAGTTAAAAGCGGGCATAACTCTATAACAGAAAGCGACTTACTGCCCAAATTTGATACCTGCATGTCTGCAAATTGTGGTTTTTGTCTCGCCTTGACGGAGTCATAAAGCGAGACATAGGTATGCTGTTTCCGGCGTCGGCGTCGGCGGCGTCAACAATGTATTAGTTTGTGATTAGGTCTAGTTCATGGTGAACCACTAGTGGTAGGTCAATGATATTTGGTATGCAGTTGTATTAGCATTGGCACATCTCATTACCATAGAGATTATTTTGCCCCGCCCCTTCAGTCAAGGTCTATTGACTTTGAAACTTTTCATAGTTTACATGTATTAGTTTGTGATTGGGTCAATTTATGGGGAACCACTAGTGGTAGGTCAATGATATTTGGTAAGCAGTTGTATAAGCATTGGCATATCTCATTTCCATGGAGATTATTTGGCTCCGCCCCCTTAGTCATGGTCTATAGACTTTGAAAATTTTGCTAAGTTAACATGTATTAGTTTGTGATTAGGTCAGTTCAAGGGGAACCATGAGTGGTAGGCCAATGTTAATTGGTGTTCAGTTGTATAAGCATTAGCACATCTCATTTCCATGGAGAATATTTGGCCCCGCCCCCTCAGTCATGGTCTATTTAATTTGAAACTTTTGCTTAGTTTACATGTATTAGTTTGTGATTAGATCAGTTTAAGATGAACTGCTAATGTTAAGTCAATGATATTTGGTATGCAAATTTATTGGCATTTGCAAGTATCGTTTCCATGGAGATTATATAGCCCCACCCCTGTTCATGGTTCATTGATTTTGAAACTTTTACATAGTTTACGAGTTAACGTTTGTGTTAAGGTTTGTTTAAAGGGAACGACTTATAATAAGTCAATGGTATTTGGTATGCAGTTGTATTACCATTGGCACATCTCATTCCATGGAGATTGTTTAGCCATGAAC